TAGGCGGTTTTTCCGGTCCGCCGCATACAACGAAACGACAATCTGAGTTTAGAGGATTCGTACCTTCGCGGGCTTTGAACGGTGACGAGAGGCTCGAGGATCGAGGCATGGAGAGCAGCATTTTTTTCTTTCTTCATCTTATTTTTTAATATTATTATATTTTAATTAATAATAATAATTATTAAGATTATATAATATAAATTATATATAGAATATATTATTAAAGAAATTTAATCATAATTAATTTATTTAAGTATAAATAATATATGATTAATTAATAATTAATTATAATTAAAAGATAATTAATCATAATCAAATTTAATTAATTATGATTAATTCATCATTAATTGATAATTAATTATAATTAAAGAATATATTAATTATAATTAAATTTAATTAATTATAATTAACTTATACTTAATAATAAGTAATTATATTAAAAAAATAACTAACTACAATTAGACTAAATTAATTATACTTAACTAAAAAAAAAAGGTTTAATGAGCTCTATAGTTCTGCTGCATTTTTTTCGGATTTGGCCGAAGATGCTCGGGATAGGGAGCAAGTTACCTTCACAATGCTTGAGCTCTCGGTTTGCTGCTTCCGATCAGACTGTTGTAACTTCCGATTCGAATAGGAAGGAGCGTCGTCGGAGGGAGGCGGATGAGCTGAAGGATGCGACTAGGGCTTGAGGAGTTCGACAAGGTGTGGAGGTAGGTCGATTCCCTCCTCTTCTCTCTCTCTCTCTCTCTCTCTCTCTGCGGATTGGAGAGGTCGGGTAGAGGGAAACGACGAACAGGGGGTTCGGCGTCTGGATCGGATTGGGAGATAGAGATGTCGGGAGTGGGAGGGGAGTTCTTGTGGAGATTGGCAGTGGAGTTCGGCAGAGGGAGGTCGAGAGAAATGGGGGGAGTTTTTGGTCGTGGTAGCGAGAGAAATGTCGAAGACGGGAGCTCGGTTTTGAGTGCTGAAGAGGCTGAGTGATCGGCTTCATTTTATAGCCGCGAATGGGAGGCGATTGAAGCGGTTCGCAGGATTTAGGCAGGATTTCCGCAGGTTTTTTCGGAGAAACGACGCAGACGGCGCCGAACGGCAGGATTCGCGGAGGCTTTCGTGGTTCCGAAGGGTATGTGCCATAGGATTTCTACGTTGTTTTCTTCTCCCTTTCATTCCTTCGGTTATTGTTTAGAGGTCTACAAGCGTTCCCCTAATTCCTCTAAATCTGAAATCAATTTCAGATTTAATATCAAATCTCATTTAATGTCTTCGGCGACATACATCGTATCTAGACATCTCTCCCTCTCCTCCTTTTGTCACCCCCCTTTTCCCTCACATATTAATTAATTCTCCTCAATTAATGCTCTGAATCAAATCCCTTTCACTCTAAAATTTATTCTTTCCAAAATTAAGTTGTTTTAATTTTGGTAAGTTTTCGAATTCAAATTCAAACGAATTTGAAATTTCAAATTTAGCTTAATTTTGGAAAGCCTTCCTTCAATTAAGGATTGGGTAAATCAGAAATTAATTGGGAATCAATTCAAATTCCACATTCATTGAACCTGGACACCCTATCCCCTTTCCCTCTCTCTCTGGCCGACCCCTTCCCTCTCTTTTCCAATTAATTTGAAAATGAAAAAATTCACATGGCCCCCCCCCCACCCTCGTTCTACATCAGTTTGGTATTAGAGCATGGTTGCTCACTGGGGAAGCGAACTCGACGGAGTCGAGCTCCTTTTCACCCCGGGAGAATAATGCGGACATCCAACCATCCATGTCTATCCGAGGAGCTGAAGATCGACGACCGTCATCTTCCCACATTATCTTAAATTCTAATTATAATTTTTATTTTTTATTATAATTTTTTTGTTTTTACCCTCACTTAAAAGGGTCGTCCTATGTAAGCCCTAGGGGCATATGTGTATTGTTTTAGTTTCTTAGGTCTATATATAGAGGGATTTGCTTGTGTAATGCAATAAAGGATTATTAATAAAAAAAAGAATTGGAGCCTTTGTCTTGATCTCTGTGTGAGTTCTAGAGAGAAAAATTCCTATAGGAGGACAACCTTGTTTCCACCAGCCGCAAGATGAATCCGGGCTCGTGGATTGAAGTCCCTCAGGGATGGCAACGTAGTACCCACCAACCGCAGGAAGAGTTCGGGCTCGTGGTTTGTATCATTTTTATTTTATTTTTTCTTTGTTCTACGTCCTCGCATCTCTAGTCTCCACCATTCACCATCCGTTTTTGTTTTATTTCATTTGATTTTGGCTAACTTTTCTTTTGGATCAAACATCAACCACTCCACCTTCATAGCCGGCCGACCACCTCACCCCTAGCCTCTTCCCTCCTCCACAAATTTTGAATTTTGAATTCAAAATAGCCTATTTATTATCTTCCTAAATTAATCTATTGTTAACTTGGAAAGTTCCTAATTTGAATTCAAAGATATTTGAATTTCAAATCTTTTCTGAATTAACAAATCTATTTTTGGAAGCCTTCCCCTAATTCCTCTAAATCTGAAATCAATTTCAGATTTAATATCAAATCTCATTTAATGCCTTGAGCCACATTCATCGTATATGGACATCTATCCCCCTCCATTTTTGCCGCCCCCCTTTTCCCTCACAAATTAATTAATTCCCCTCAATTAATGTTGTCAATCAAATCCCTTTCCCCCTAAACTTTATTCTTTCCTAAATTAAGTTATTCTAATTTTGGTAAGTTTTTGAATTCAAATTCAAATGAATTTGAAATTTGAAATTCTTTCTTAAATCATTTAGCTTAATTTTGGAAAGCCTTTAATTCAGGATTGGGTAAATCAGAAATTAATTGAGAATCAATTCAAATTTCACATTCATTGAACCTGGACAGCCTTTCCCTCTCTCTGGCCGACCCCTTCCCTCCCTTTTGCAATTAATTTAAAAACTAAAAAATTCACATGACCCCCCCCCCCTCGTTCCACATTAACTTGTATGAATATAATGTGAATTTTATCTTCTTGTACACATTACATGAACAACCATAAGACGTTCTTTCGATACAATACCATCATTCGAGGATTATTACACAACTTTAAACTTTCAAGGTCCTAGGCTATTGTGGCACCCAAGGATGGGTATTGGATGATGGGATTCATCTAGCTTGAGGTGCATCCAACTTCATGAACTCAACTCATCAATGCTAATAATATCCAAATTCCCCGTCGTGCTTTCTTGATTATCGTCCTTAGTCAGTATCTTCACATTTTAGCTCTCCTTCTAAAGAATATTCTTAATCTTTAAGAACTTGAAGTAGTCAAACCTAATCTATAATATTTTGGAAATACGTCTGTAGGATGGGGTCTAGGATCTCATATTTACCATTAAATTGGTTCACTATGAGTTGTGACCAACAAATGACATAGAGGAGGGATACCTCACATGCAAGCTTGGATTAGCTAAAATATTATTGTACTTGACCATTTTTTTTTTTTTGGGAAGACCAAGGTCAAAGCTCAAGAAAACATCATCCAAATAGGACATCTAAAGACGATCCTTACACCTTTGGCTTCCAGATCATACGTTCATGCACAAAAGCTTTTCTTGGCTTAGGAGATGAAGGAATTTCTTGGCTTACTAAACTTTTTAATACTATTTTGAAGACTAAAAAGATGTCAGATGAGTGGAGAATGAGTGTGTTAATTCCAATTTTTAAGAATAAAGGTGATGCACAAGATTGTGCGAATTATAGAGGAATTAAGTTAATGTGTCATACTTTATAACTATGGGAGCGAGTTATGGAGCATAGGTTGCAGCGTGATACTAATGTTTCTCAAAATCAATTTGGATTCCTGTCGGGTAGGTCGATATGGAAGCCATACATTTATTAAGAGGTTTAATGGAGAAATATAGAGAAAATAAGGAGGATCTACATATGATATTTATTGATTTAGAAAAAGTATATGATAAAGTTCCAAGAGAAGTGCTATGGAGAGTTATAGAAAAGAAAGGAGTTAATAACACTTATATTCAAATCATTAAAGATATGTATGCAGGAGTTATTACTTGTGTTCAAACATAAGGTGGTTTGACCAAGTATTTCCCTATTTCGGTTGGGTTACATCAAGGATCAGCCTTAAGCCCATATCTTTTTGCTTTAGTTATGGATGTTCTCACTAGACATTTATAAGAGGATGTGCCTTGGTGTATACTTCTTACTGATGAAATTCTTCTTGTTCATAAGACTAGAGAGGGAGTTGAAGGTAAACTTGAATTATGAAGGTCAACCTTAGAGTAAAGGTTTTCGCTTGAGTAGATCTAAAACGGAATATATGGAGGGTAATTTTAGTAGTAATAGACCTAGTGAGGGGATTATGACTTTGGGCGACCAAGTCATTAATAAGAGTACACGTTTTATCTTGGATCTATTGTTCAGAGTAATTGTGAAATAGATGGAGATATTATCAGCAGAATTCAAGTTGGAAGGTTGAAGTGGAGGAATGCATCGAGCTTGTTGTGTGATAAAAAAGTACCCATCAAACTTAAGAGAAAATTCTAAAAGATGGTAGTGAGGCTTACAATGCTTTATGGTGCCGAATGGTGGTCATTAAAAGAGAAGCATATACGTGAAAAGGTTGGAGTAGCTCTAGTAGAAGATAAGATTTAAAGGGAGTTGCCTTAGATGGTTTGGTCACATAAAACGGCGGCCTTCCGATGACCAGGTTAGGAGAGTAGATGTTTTAGATTTGACTTATGTTATGAAAGGTAGAGGGAGACCTAAAAAGACTTGGTTAGAAAATATTAGGAATGGCTTTTCTTTATTAGATTTAAATGAGAATTTGTCTTTTAATAGGACATAGTGGACAAAAAGGATTCATGTAGCCGACCCCACGTAGTGGGATAAAAGCTTGATGTTGTTGTTGTTGTACTTTTATTTTGCTACAAATGATGTTGCTTTCAATTTTTTTTCTCATTTTGAATATTACGCTTCCATTACTTTCTTAATTTTTATGTATGATTTATATATTATAATGGCATATCTACGCCGTATCTGTATCCTATATTTTTAAGAATTGATGTGTCCTGTATCCATATCTGTTCCGCCGTATCCATATCGATACAACATAGGCCGAGAGACTAAAGCCCAAGCACATAAGAGATCTCAAATTTCTAATTCAAATTCAAGATGAAATCCTAACCCTCCCAAATGAAACTAATTAAAGACAAAGGAAAATAACAAATTCTCTAAATAGCCCCTTAATTAAAAAATTTCCTTCCAAAGAAAGTTTAATTAGCATGTGGGCCCACAAGTACCCCTCTCTCTCCCTTCCCTAGTTCCGCCCAGCACCTTGGGCCGCCGGTTGTAGGTGTAAACCGGTTCAACCGGCCCAGGAGGGGCCGGCCTAACATAATGGTCTCTTTAAATTTCAAATGTCACTATCTTAAATATGATTTTAAAAGACTTCAAATTCTACCATAACTAAGCAGTCTATTTTTATGTTTTGCTTTTTGCTCTATTCCAATTCACAGCAGTTGTGTTAGATATTCCTTTGAAATAATTCAAAGGATATTTAAGTGTGCAATAGAAAATTTATAAATTGAGGTGAGTTACAAAAACATACAGTTTTCCCAAATAGCGTCTCTCCTATTGGATCACCTAATATTTTCTTCTTGACAGAAATTTCCATCTCCTTCTGCAAAAACCAAAAATAAATAAATGAATTTAAGATTATTATGGAAAAGGATACATTGCATATGGGCGTACCGTTTGCATGATGCTTCCCATCACAATATGGGATGACGAAGTATTGTTATACGCAGTTCTACCATGTATTACAAAGAGGCTATTTTTATGACAAGAACTATGTGAATTATAGATCACAAAGCAAAGGATTAAATTTCTATTCCCCGTTTGAAATTAGCATCTCAAGCCCCTCATAAATTATTAAATTTATTAAACAAGCACTAAAAAAATAATATTTCATAACGTGTCATTAATCATTAAACACAATTAATTCCACTAAAATGTTACCTTAACAACCAACAAATTAAAGTCAATGGGATCACAACATTTTGATTGACAGTGAGGGAAAACATGTAAGAACAGAAATAGGAGCAAGAATTTCATATAATTATAGAGATTATAAGTGGAATATTAAGAATCAAAGCGATAATGTGAAAAATTTTAAAGACATGAATGGACTGAACAAAAAATAAGATGCATCTAAAGAACAATAAAATTGAAGGTTCGTAATTATGCATTTCATCAAGGGAAAGTCATTTCACAAGAAAATAACGATGGCTATCCTAAACACCTATAGGTAACAAATGATAGGGGATTTACTAGAAATGCTTTAAAGTGCTACGATGAATTGTTTACATAAGAACAAGTTCCTAAAAAAGTTGGTTATGGTGTCAAATACAAAGATTGGATTCTGCATAGTTATAATTGATGTAACTCTGCTAAATTGACAGGATCAAAGGGAGATATTTGAAATATATGAATGCATGAAGACATGAAATTTTTTACTCATATTACGAAGCAAAAATAATGCAATCTTCAATGATACGACAACCCCTAGAAGCTTGGAAAATCAAGGCAAAAATAGATGGCTGGATTGAAATTTTAATAACTTTCACTTCACATTTCTCATAAAATCTTTTGAATTCCAAAGAGTCAACTAAACTATAATTTGTTTTATTAATAAACATGATGATGTAGTAGATCATTCACTTTGATTCCCTTCAAAATACATATTTCCAAAGATAAATTTTGATAGATATGATATTCTTACAATGACTAATTTCTTATGTTATCCTCGTATTTGTACACAAACTACCTTCTTTCACCTGTTTAGGTTAAAGGAGGTTTTCTTGAATTTAATTATCAATTAATTAGTGATCTAAACAACATAGTGGATAATTATTTCTAAATTATAATAATTCAAAAAAAAATAGAAACTAATTATATTTCTAAATCATAATAATTAAAAATTAGAAAATTGCATGCATGCAGATGTTTATACGTAATTCATTAAGAATTTCATTTTCATTAATGGTGTGAAAATGTATTTGTAATTTTACAATGCTAGAATAAACAACTGTTAACTTTCTTTATCATTTTAATGTCTTATCTTATAATGCACTCTCATAGGAGCAACATCTATATGGTACCATTAAAACCATCATCCCATAACCTTTTCTAGTCTAATCCCTGAGGTGGGTGATCTTTTTCATTTTTATTTCCAATTAGGAGCACCATCTAAACTGTACCATTAAAACACATTATCTAACTCCTGCTCGCCAACATGCTCATCCAGAGAATCTGATTAGCAATCATGGGTTGCCTCCTCTCAGGACACTGAGGTGGTTGTGTTAGCTTTTGTTTGTTGTGGTTTGAGTTTGGGGCTTATTGCTCCTTTCAGGAGTTGCCTAATATATTTAGTTAAGATGGGGCTTATTGCTCCATTTTAGGAGTTTCCGGATAGATTCATTTAAGATAGACTTGTTTCACCTTCTTTAGGAGTTTCTCGTTAAATTAATTTAGTTAGGATGAGGCTGATAGCTCCACCTAGGAGTTTGCCCATTAGATTGTTTTTAGTTTAAGGATTATGGTTCCTTTTAAGAGTTGCCCAACGATTCAATTAGAAATTGCCAAATAATTTAGTATAGGATAGGACTTATTGCTTAAATTAGAAGTTGCTTTGTAATTTGGTTTAGTATGGGACCTATGATACAAAGACATGGACACGGCGATACAAATACGACATAACACCGACATGGGACATGTCAATTATTGAAAATATAGGATACGGACAGGGGTTGGACAAGATATTATAGTTTTTATATTTTAAAAATAATGTATAAAAATTAATTAAGTATAATTTAAAAATAATTTAAAAATAATAAGTCAATTAATTAACTTTGTGCTTAAAATGATTAATATTAAGATGTAGAGTGTCGGACGCCGATGCCATTTATCAATCATCAAGAGAGGAGATAATTATGTTGTCGAGAGCCGGGCATTGATGTTATGCAGTAAATATTGGACGTCAATGTTAATAGGTCATTTATCGTCAATGTTAAAAAGGTATTAGACAAAAATAAGATGTCAAGTTGTGGGTATAGAAATTGCTAGTATCGAGCATCAATGTAAAGACAACGTCTGACTTTGATACGAAGATCGTTTTGAAATGTTGATGTTGTAATGACATTAGACGTCGATGTTGAGATGACATCGACATTGTTGTGAAATCAAAGTTGTAACCCGCCAAAGAGAAATAAAAATAAAAATATTCGATGAATGGGATATTAAGCATGGGTGATTGATTTAGTGTTGTGGATAGGAAATAAGAAATTTAAATTTTATATTTTTAAAAAGTAAAAATTTTAAAAAGACAAGAAATTATATTTAAAAAAAATCATAAAATATTTATGATACTTGTGTCAAACATGCGTGTCCAATTTGTATTTAATATTTTTTTAATCAGACACGTTTTTGACATGTCTGCCACGTGTCAGACACGTCTCATGTCGGATACGACACGCGTCCAACATGTGTCAGTTTCTACCTGCCTCTTTGAGAAGAAGTGTCGGTGCATCATAGGATGGGACTTATTGTTTCAATTAGAAATTGCCTAATAATTTAATTTTGGGTAGAACTCATTGCTTCAATTAGAAATTGTCTAGTGAATTGGTTTAGGGCTGATTGCTTCAATTAGAAGTTGCATATTAATTTGGTTTAGAGTTTATTGCTTCAATTAAAAGTTGCCTAGTAATTTGGTCTAAGCTAAGACTTATTACTTCAATTAGAAGTTTCATAGTGATTTGGTTTAGGGCTTATTACATCAATTAAAAGTTGCTTAGTGATTTTGTTTAGAGCTTATTACTTCAATTAAAAGTTGCCTAGTAATTTATTTTAGGATATGACTTATTACTTCAATTAGAAGTTGCCTAGTAATTTGTTTTAGGATAGGACTTATTGTTTCAATTAAAAGTTGCATAGTAATTTGGTTTAACATAAGACTTATTACTTCAATTAGAAGTTGCCTAGTGATTTGGTTTAGGGCTTATTACTTCAATTAAAAGTTGCCTAGTAATTTGTATAAGGATATGACTTATTGCTTCAATTAGAAGTTGCCTAGTAATTTGTTTTAGGATAGGACTTATTGTTTCAATTAAAAGTTGCATAGTGCTTTGGTTTATCATAGGATTTATTGCTTCAATAATAAATTGCCTGGTGATTTTGTTTAGAACTTATTGCTTCAATTTTTTTTTTTTTACTTAATGCTTCAATTAAAGTTGCATATTAATTTGGTTTAGGGCTTATTGTTTCAATTAGAAGTTGCTTAGTAATTTGATTTAGGATTGCACTTATTGGTTTAATTAACAGTTGTCTAGTAATTTGATTTTGGGTAGGACTTATTGCTTCAATTAGAAATTTCCTAGTGATTTGGTTTAAGGCTTATTACTTCAATTAAAAATTACATATAAATTTTTGGTTTAGAGTTTATTGATCCAATTAAAACTTATCTAATAGTTTGCTTTAGCATAAGACTTATTACTTAGAAGTTGCCTAGTAATTTATTTAAGATATGATTTACTAGTTCAATAAGAAGTTGTCTAGTGATTTGGTTTAACGCTTATTATTTCAATTAGAAGTTGCCTAGTAATTTATTTTAGGATAGGAATTATTGCTTCAAATAGAAGTTACCTAATAATTTATTTTAGGATAAAACTTACTGCTTCTATTAAAAGTTGTCAAGTGATTTGATTTAGTATAAGACTTATTGCTTAAATTAGAAATCGCTTAGTGAATTGGTTTAGGACTTATTGCTTCAATTACAAGTTGTCTATTAATTTGGTTTAAGGCTTATTGCTTCAATTAGAAGTTGTCAATTAATTTCGTTTAGGGCTTATTGCGCTGGGCAGGATCACGTGGAGGAGCAGAGACGAGAATGGGCGTGGGGTCTCATGGAGGCGAAGCAAAGTCAAGCCCGAGGGGAAAAGACGAGCACAGGCGTGCGGGTCACGTGGAGGCGAAGCCATGCACGGGCGTAAAGGTCGAATGTCTGAAACCATGTAGAACGAAGGCAGGCGGAGACGTTCAGGTCGCGAGGAGGCAAAGCCCTACGTGGGCATGCACGTTGAAGGTCGAAAGCCGAGCGTGGGATTGGAGGGTTGTGATCTTCGTGACGGAATGAGAGGGAGAAGGATTCTAGGCTCCTACGTGTGTATGAGAGGTCTTGTATTTTCTTTTTTTATATAAAATTGAAAGGGCGTGTCTCTTTAGCCAAACAAGGCATTTCTTCAGTATTTTTGTTATTATTATTTTTTCTTCTTCATCATCTTTTCTTTTCTTTTTTAACCAACATAGAGCACTAACATTATAATCACTAGCATCACATATGATTTCAAAATACAATATCCAATTAGGTATAGAAGTAACAAGTACAATGATCAAGTGCCATTTCAAAATGTTAAAAATTTTTAGGCATTTATTAAATTCAAAAGGGACAGCTTTTTTAAATAAATGGCATAATGAATTGGATATTTTAGAAAAATTCCAAATGAATTTCTATAAAAACCAACATGTCATAAAAAGCTTCTTATTCCTCTAATAGAAGTGGGAAGTGGATGTTTTCAATTACTCGTACTTTAACCCTATCCACTTCTAAACCTTTCTCAAAAATTT